CCTCCGTGGTAAGATGGCGCCGGTGTAAGAGCTGCCTCCTCTTAGTGATGGGGAAAGGGTCATAAATCCGTTGTTGTTTATGAAAATTTACAACTTTGCAATACAACTTTATGAGTTGTTCGGCCCTTCCATTGGCCGCTGTCGGTCATGTGGATGGGAACCGTGAACATGAACTTTTTTATAATTTCCCTTGCGAGAATAGAGCCGCATTCTTTTGCTCCGCTCGGTCCTGCCTGCTTCGGAGCTCTGCCTTCTAGCCCGGCTGCGCTGCGCTTTGTCCGGCGATGGCGAGCGAGGGGAAGCCCGGGCCAGGCCTGGCCCAGCCGCTCCCGCTGGAGGTGGGGCGCGCCCAGTTCCTTGCGCCTCCGCAGCCGCTTTGCAACTCGCAACCTGGCTAATTTCCTGCGTCCTCTGGCACCAGGAAGAAGGACAATTCGTCTCCCGGGCTGCCCAAGGAGCGACAGCTGTCAGAGGGGCAGGAGCTTCTGGAAGCCGCCATCTGAAGGTGAGACATGTGGGGAGGAGACAGGAGCAAAGGTGGTTAGGTGGCAGCCGGCACCAGCGGCGGTGGGAGAGGGCACCCGGGGCGGCATCCTCATCCTCACCAATACTCTGGCGTTCACACTCGCCCCCCTCCCCCCCACTACAGTTAGACACACACCACTCCCTCCCTCCTTCTCCCCTCCCGGGGCTCACTGTGGCAGTAAGTGCCCGCCTTCCTTCCGTGGCACACTGCCCTGGCACGGGCAGCAGCACTTGGGTCTCCTGTCCCCATTGCCCCAGCCACCCGCCAAGGCCAAAATAAGGTGGCTCGCACTCTGCGGTCCATGTCAGCCTCTCAGGTTGGCTTGTTTTTGTTTTTGTTTTTATTTTCCCAATTCGTGGCCCAATTGGTTCGATTGAATTTTCCAGCAACTGGAGAAGGTTCCTGACCTGGGGAGATGGGAGGAGATGGGGGCAAAGTGAATTGCGCTGCAGACGTTTTATTAACATCAACACAGCACCTTGATGGGAATTGGTTTCTAAAAAGGAGGGGGAAAAACGAACAAGAACTTACAAATTCATCCGGAGTTCTCTGTGCATTGCCTACTTCCTCTGGCCGGATTTTCCAATGAGAGAGGTGTCCCAAGCGCCGGGAGGAAGAATAGTGCTTAGGTGGAACTCTGTGTCAGAGGAGAGGATGGGGTTAATTGGTTGGGTGCTACTTGGCGGGAAGTTTTTTCGGTGTGGAGGACGTTGTGGTGTTTGTGCAAGTGACAGGCGCCGCAGCTTAGGATGGAGGAAGGACACGAACTGAGACTGGGCAATAAGGGGAACCCCTCAACCCACCTACTCGCAGCCGGCTGGTGACCGCGCTCCCTGCCTCCCACGAATGGCTAGAGGACGGTAGGGCCGTCCGGCAGGAGGCACGGAGGATGGAGCTGGCGGTGGCTTTGCGTGGCGCGGGTGGCACGAACCCTGGCTCGAGATGGGTTCGCATGGGGCCAGATTTGTCCTAGGAGCTTCCGGGACACAGACAAGAAACAATCCCAGGGTTCTGGGCTCTAGTTTATTGTTTGTTGTGGTTTTATGGCTTATTTCCGGTCTTGAGATAATATGTTGATGTGCATTCGATAATTAAGAAGCGGTTGTGCACGTTCAGGACGATCACTCGCGCCGTGGGTGCTCCCGAGACGGATAAAGCGGCGCATTTGCATCGCAGGGCGGCTGGCTGCCTGACTGCGGCCGCCGCGGGGA